GTTCCAGCGTAATGAATTTTCATTCTATTGACCTGAGAATTTAATGCTATATATTTATGAATATTATTAACATTTTGTTGGAAAAGTTTTTTGAATTAAGAGAATAGAATTTTTTTTATACATGATATTTTATAGAGGTATGATGATTTTTTCCTAAAAATGTAGGTTTTTTACTGTTTTTTTAATGTTATTCGTTTCTATAATAAAAAATAGAAAAAGTACTCCCAACATTTTTTTCAATATTACCTAATATGTAATATTTTAAAAGAATTTTGTCATTTTGACAAAATTTCAGACGCGAGGAGTAATATAAAAAAAACATAAAAAATTCAAAAATTTAAATTTTTTAATTTCTTAAAATTTGAAATATTTTTTTGAAATTTTGTATAACAGTTGTTTTTAACAATATAAATGTATTCTGAAAATTTCAAGCAAATCCCTTGATAATTTCAAAAAAAAATTTTGAAAGTCCCTTGTCGCCTTAAGAAAAATATGCATATAATTTCCATATGATATAGTCAAGGAGGGGGGGGGGAGATAGTTGTCCCGGGACAACAGTGGATCCAACCAAATTTCTAACAAAAATGAAGCGTTTTATTAGTTTATTAAAAAGAAAATGGCTGAGAATTTTTTTTATCTATTTAAAGACTACAAATTTTGTTTGTTACCAAAGGGTCGTCAAAAATTCTACAAAGTATGAAAATAAGGTCTTTTTTTGGCTTTAAGGAAGGGGCCCGTTAAGCATTTGTTTGTTCACAGCCTTGGATGGATTTGTCTTCATTCTCCACTGAACCTCAGCTTTCGTGGGCCCATCATAAATACACATCAAGGAGGTACCTGGTTTTACCCTCCAGAGCAGAGTTTATAGAAACGATTCAAAACGGTGCTATTATTCCTTTCGAAATCCGTATTGTTTGTTAGCGTATGAATATTTAGTAAACGTATAATAAACTGGACTAAAAATAATTTTTATAACACTAATTACCAATAAATAAGGAGAACACAAAAACTAGGGAACTTTAACTAAACTTATCGGCACAGACGTCGTGAATTAACAACAACACGGCAATTATTGTAGGTCAATCCTCTTAAATAGTAATGCGAGTTAGGTGTAATTTAGAGTTAATCCGCAGAAAACAGAACTAATTTCCACACAATCGGAGTTTCCGGTCATTACTCCACTCATCCCGATAATTTTCAATCTCAATTGCTCTCTCGCTGTCTAAATTTAAGAATTTTAAACTTATTTTATTTAAAATTAACTTTCAAATCAACTAATCAACTCTGATTAGTTGATTTGATTAATTACATTGAAATGTTTATAAATTGACATTATATTAGCTGTACGGTCCCGTGATAGCTCAATAGTTAAAATTGAAGGCAATGGACTGTATATAATAATTAACAAATGTAATTAATTAGTTCACGCATGAACTTGCATTAGAGAGCGACCATACGCTCTTAACAATTCAATCAACAAGAATGAGTAGTTCAAAAAGGTTACATTATGATGAAAGATGGCTGGCGCAATACAATCTCGCCAAACGGTAATTCAACTCCAAACATTAGCAATCCCGAATCTCGAGAGTAGAAACTCTTTTATAGCAGTGTTCTTATAATAGTTTGCAAGATATCATTAATCTAACCATTTCTTACCGACAAATTTTATTTTATATTTTATATTACAGTACAGAACCCGTTATCCGGAAATCAGAAAACCGGAAAACCAAAAAACCGGAACGAAATTCGAGAAATTTTCCCGCCATTTTTTAAAAAAATATTTTTTTTCCTCATAAGATTTTAGGATTTTTCTTTCTTTTTTGAAGGATGTTTACCTTACCATCACTTTGGAAATAATCATTAGTGTATTACTTCATCGTTTTTTCCTCTTTTTAAGATTATTATCATAATTTTTTTTTTTTAGTTGGCTTTAACAATAAAAAAACGGCTTTTTGTAGTGATTCAGAAAACCGGAAAAATCAGTTATCCGGAATAGCGATGGTCCCGATCGTTCCGGATAATCGGTTCCCTACTGTATAACCGTTGATTCTAAGATTCCGGCTATGAATCCGCAGTCCATACGCTTCAACTTCGTTGCGTTGTGATTTTGAGAAGACAAGCAAATGTTTGGATCCAGCATTGGAACAAACTAGCCTTCGTGGAAGACTTTTTAATTGAACTAACTCGCATTTGCATTTCATGAAAATGAAAAGCTCAAAAACTTTCCACAGTTAGTCCGATGGAAAGGGGTATCTAGCCTATGATCTATCTACAACTGAGGATACTTTATGTACGGTGGTCAATGCGAGCTGGAAACAGAATTCGTTTCAACCAGCCAATGTTGAGATTTGAAACTGGATTACCTCATGGCCAACGCGGTTCTCACCGATAATTTGAATTAGCCACATTAAATTTTGAGCATCATAATTAATGACCCTCCAAAATCTTAGGAATTACATACTATAACAAAACGCTTAGATTTCTGGCGAGTTTTTTTTATTTATTTTTTTATTTATACCACTGAGCATTGTCCCTTTTGATTTTTTTTAATAAAGAGAGATGTATGCGTTGTATATCGAAGTGTTCGTCCATACATTTTTACATACAACAGAGAGAATATTGCGTTTTACACCAATTTTCAATTTTGTTGTTTTTTATGTAGGAAGAAATATTTAAAAAAAACTTGAAAATGGGAATTGCATTATATATGTTAGTCTAGATAATTGTTTTGTGAATGAATTTCGTTATGCATTTCAGAAAAACATCAACTCAGTGCTGTACCCTAGACTACCATGTGTTGTAACTCTCAGTGTTAAAACTTATTTTTAGTTTTCTTTTAAGTGGATTGAATTTGGAGATTAAATATAATTATTAGTTTAACTAAATCTGAATGAGCTAAAATAAATGTTATTAATAGTAAGCGTAATTTCAAATTATATTTTGCAGGGATATTTTAAAGATGTAGTGCTTTAATAGGAACATACTTTTAATAAGAATTTTGACATGCAATTTTTAATTGTATTATTTACATGTTGTGAATGGCAACGTTCACAAAGAAGTATATTTGGGCTAACTGGGCCCTCTTGCTTATATCTTAAATCAGTACTGTGTACAGTGCAAAAAAAAAAAAAAGAAACGAAAAACCTTAAATAACTATTGATCTAATTCACACACTAGGTAACTAGCTAATTCACACATTTTCACACACTAGGACTGAATTATGATGATTCAAGGTGACCTCAGTCATGCTAATTAGTTAGGGCAGACGAAATTTTAAGTTACGAAATCAGACTCAGAAATGTAGTATTTTTTCTGAATAAACATATCTATTTTCAAAGCATTATGATTCTGGATTCCTAAAATATAGAGGAGCAGCAAACTGCGAAGTATGGTCCCAATAGTTAGATCAGGAGAAGGGTCGAGAATTTAGACCCCTTAACGCCAATTTTACCTTTTGCGTATTTCGAGAACTTTTTAAGCGATTTAAAAAAATGTTTGCATGCAATTGTAAAATTCGTTTATCCGAAGACAATACCTTGAAAAAAATAATTTTTGATATTTATTCATTATATTTTATTTTATTTATTAATAGTAGAAAAATTTTTAACTGAGAAGTTTACAAATGTTTACGGGTTGGGATAGCCTGGTTGGTAGGGCACTGGGCTCATGTCCAAGTGGTCGTGGGTTCAATTCCTGCCGGCCGAAGACTCCCCGTGTAGTAAATGGTGACTGATGTACGTTAAATCTGTCGAGTCTCAAAGTCCTCCATGTTCCCATAACAAATCGAAACCTCTGGGGGTACTGAATTGGAGATTGAGCGTTCTCTGATTCAGGTCAAAATTACGATCTGTGGATAAATGAATGGATGTATGAATGGGTCCTCCCTATTGGGTCGGCTGTTCAACGACGGTTATAAAATAAAATAAAANATGGAACCACTGGAAAACAAGAACAATCGCACCCCCTCTGCTTTAATAGCATACGTCAACAGTAACAAATGTTTACATCGTTGAAACGAATATAATTTTATGTAGAAAAATACAAAATTTAAACGAAATCAGTCTTAAGAGTTCCTAAGAATTAGGGAAGTATGTATATTTTTTTAGAGTAACATTTATATAGATATTTAGGGGTTTAGTGTACGAAATCTTAATCCACTGATTAAAAAAAATTTATGCATAGTAAGTTCGTTATTGTCACTGATTTGCTAACTTAAACTGTCTTTTGCATATTATTTTAATATATTTGAAATCATCCCCTTGAACCATGCAGACTGAGTCTTAGTACGTGAAAATCCGATCATTAGATTAAAAGTTATTCAAAGTGACTCAATTTTTTCTGCATTGTACATGCGGTCTAAGATAGAGCATTTTTCCTTTCAATTTATTTTTACATTAAAATTTAATATTAAAGAAAAAACTTTTCTTCGTAAGACTATGAATTATGAATCTTCGTTAAAATTATGAAAATATTCGTTAGAATGATGAGAACGTTATAATGATAAAATTCGTTATAATGATGATAGTATATTTTTTTGGATTATACAATACTTACGTTGATTATACAATGCTAAGATGTTGTCATGGCTTTAACTGACTTTGCAAATGCTGAATAGTTATTACTTGCTATTAATTTAATCACATAACATAATTTTAACCGTTATCAGAATAAGTCCAGAATCGCTACTAAATAAAATACCTCTGCATTTAGTAGTGATTATTTAAAAGTTGTTTGCTTATTCAACTTAAGTCCTGATAAACTCATGAAATTTTTTTAATAGATTTCGCAGAGATTTTTTGACGGTATCTCTGCATTAGTACCTTTACACTTTCATATGACCTTAACGATGTATTTTTTTTATTAATTATCCTTATAAGAAATTAAAATTCAAGATGAATTTATTTAAATATAAAATTAATCTTATTTAGAAAACAGTTTTCTAAAAGCTATTATTCTATTTGGAGGTATACATCACTCATAAATTTCATTTCTATTTTCAGATACTTAGTCCTAAAAATGAAGCACAAAACTTTTTGGAAAATCTTGATGGGTTCCAAACATCATGCCCGCAAGTTAAGGAATTGTCTCCCCCACGTATCGTTGCTAGGGAGAAACAAAAAGTAATTGAAATTGCAAAAATAGTTATATCATTTAAGACAACTATTTTCCTTTTTAATGAAAATAATTTGTTAATAAACAGGTTTCTAAAAACAAATTTTATACTTACAAATTTCATTTCTATTTTCAGATACTTAGTCCTAAAAATTCACAAAACTTTTTGGAAAATCTTGATGGGTTCCAAACATCATGCCCGCAAGTTAAGGAATTGTCTCCCCCACATATCGCTGCGAGGGAGAAACAAAAAGTAATTGAAATTGCAAAAATGGTTATATTATTTAAGACAACTATTTTCCTTTTTAATGAAAATAATTTGTTAATAAACAGCTGTCTGAAAACAAATTTTATACCTACATCACTTAGGAATTTCTCTCCTATTTTCAGGAACTTATTGCTAAAAATGAAGCACAAGACTTTTTGGAAAATCTTGATGGGTTGCAAACATCATGCCCGCAAGTTAAGGAATTGTCTCCCCCACATATCGCTGCGAGGGAGAAACAAAAAGTAATTGAAATTGCAAAAATGGTTATATTATTTAAGACAACTATTTTCCTTTTTAATGAAAATAATTTGTTAATAAACAGCTGCCTGAAAACAAATTTTACACATACATCATTTAGGAATTTCTCTTCTATTTTCAGGTACTTATTCCTAAAAATGAAGCACAAGACTTTTTGGAAAATCTAGATGGATTCCAAACATCATGCCCGCAAGTTAAGGAATTGTCTCCCCCACATATCGCTGCGAGGGAGAAACAAAAAGTAATTGAAATTACAAAATTAGTTATTTCATTTAAAACAACTATAAGTACTTTCATTTTTAATAAAAATAATATTTTTGACCTCAAAATATGAGTTTCCGCCGATAGATTTCCCAATAAAATCAGATCACGTAAAGAAAAAGTTCATAAAATATGAATTGATTGACATATATGACCTTTCTAAACTAAATTATTCAATAGTATGAAATCGAGAGCTTGTTTGTAGTTCCACAATACCGATACTTTCGTAGCGAGGTAAACTTGCTTTTCGTTTTGTGTTTCTGACCTCGAACGGAAACCTTAATATGTTAGCCGGGCTCATAAGAGACCATGTCTTTAACATATTGTTTATGGATGAGATAACATGTTATTACATGAGCTGTAAGCTCTTACAAGCTCTACAATGAATTATTAAAATTAAATATACAAATTTACAAGCAAAATTTTTCAGATAAGAACCTTTAAATTTGAAGTAAAGTTTATAAGAAATTAAGAGACCTACCTAAAGAGTCATAGGCACCTACGTCATGAAGATATCCATCAATTCGATACATACAATGAAGAGCCATTACATTATTACCATCCTTCATCTATAACAAAGGACTTGCCCAGGTTTTCATGGTTTCTCGCCCAGGAACAATGTTTTCATGGGGCACATTAGGACCCATAATCCTCATAGAACAATCCCTGGCGTCTGTAAGCTACTTGAACATAGTTGCAGACCAGGTTAACCCCTTCATGGCAACAGTTTTTCCTGCGGGGGATGGGGTTTACCAACAGAATAATGCACCATGTCATAAGGGTCGAATCGTCATGGATTGGTACGAGGAACATTCCAGTGACTTAAAAGTCATGTCTTGGCCCCCAAATTCACCTGACCTTAATCCAATAGAGCATTTGTGGTCCTACATGGAAAACCAAATTCGTGCTGTACAGTTTAAAA